TTTAAAGACAAAATCTGTGGTGATGAGAATGGTTACCGAACAGTGGTCTCGTCTGGTAGCCGGCTTTACGTGGAACTTATCTCTAATACACTACCTCTCGGTTCCATAGGTAAATATCATTCCGTGTGTGGCGGACCGATTTATGCCGACAGTGGAGTCATTCAGGTGCTTTGTAAAGTAAGATATCTCTTTCTATTGTGAACTGCCTCATTCCAGAGCCCTAGGTATCCGGAACCGTATCCTTCCAACGCTGATTGTTTGTGGACTGTCCACGTTTCTGAGGGCTACCAGGTTGCCGTGGAGATAGTCTATTTCCATGTTTGTTTGCCTCCAATTTTTTATTGTATTTATACCAAAATTTCTGGTGTTTAGTTGGAACAACACAAAGATTGCATTTATGATCGAGTCATCTTTTGGGAAGGCATTGAAAGCGGTTCACCTTTGGCTACATTATGTGGATCTATAACGAAAAGGCAGATAGTGACGAAAGTTAGCAATGAGATGATCATAAGGTTGGAAGTCCTTAGTCCTTTTCTCTGTTTTTCATCCCATTTTCTCAGATGTCATCATGAATTTTTATTTCAAATCATTATCTAGGTTGTACTCCGATAACTCAGTACAAAAGTCAGGATTTGAAATTACTTTCGTACGCGAGTTAGACGAATGTGCCATGGGGACTCATCAATGCGAACAACGATGTGTAAATACAGTCGGTAGCTTTAGATGTGACTGTCACGTAGGCTACAGCTTGCGACCGGATGGGAAAACTTGTGAAAGTGAGTTTGAGTTTCTACTTCGCTTTCTCACTTTGTTTGTTGTTCTGTAGATACTTATAAGGAATTTGGAAGCTACATTGTTCATCTTCCAATCGTCTCAAGCCGAAAAAAGCAGTTAGGAAATCAGTCGCCATTTAAGGTACATGCGGAGGCTTCATCCGTGCTTATTCGGGTTCATTCGCGTCGCCCAACTTCCCACTACAATACCCTCCGTCAAAGAATTGCGTGTGGGAGATTGAGGCAGATGAAGGATATCAGATTTTCCTTAACTTTACAACTTTTAGTGTAGAGGTGATTGAAACCCTGCGTTTGTCTTTGAGGCTGTAGTTATCGTAATGTTTTAGGGTATGAAGACAGAATGTGCGTATGACTACGTGAAGATAGGCGAGAGCGAGAAACTTTGTGGAGATTATGGTAAGGTTGTGAATACATCA